TCCGTCGTTGCGAAGGTTCGTGAGTGCGCCGGAAGTATTCAAGAAGATTAATTGAAGACCGATTATTGCAAGGCAAGTCACACAGATCCTAAACACAATCCTTTGAGCATGTTGATACTATATTTAAATTCTCTATTTATTTCAACTATGCATTTATTTTCGAATGTCACTGGGTGGTGTGAATCTATTCCTTTGCTATGGCCTGTTTGCATTGATTACTTTATTCCTTGATACCTTGGGTTATTATAACTTGACTAGTTGAGCTATATATATTGGTTCAGCTAGATATTAGATATGATTGCTTAGCCATGCTTAGAAACATTAGCACACTATTGGGATAACTTATGACTCATTATTATTTAATGATGGCTTAATGATAGTTCACGATGGTCAATCGTGATTGGTTAATTAATTACTTGCCAACTAAAACTTGATAATGGTGGGTTGTGAGCACATGGTTTTGAGAGTCGTGCTCATGACAATTAAGGACCGGTTCGCGAGCTACTGTTGTGAAACATTAACCGTGCCAACCACAAGCCAGCGTGGGCAACGGCTTTACCTTTTGTATAGCATGATTCATTGCGGAGCACCAGACTGAGAAGTGGCGGAGATAAGCCCACGGGGGTCGCTGGGGAGTCCATGCCTTGTTTATAAGGGGGTGATTATGATCCAGGAAAGGTGCGCTGTGGTGGATTGTGTTGTGCAAGGGGTATTGTCACAGCTCCTTTCCGAGGTACCGTGGTGGTATTGAGGCACATGGTGACATGTTGTGGGGCTGTGTCTTGTGGGTACAGTGGTACACCTCTGGCCAGAGTAAAACTATTCGAATAGCCGTGCCCGCGGTTATGGGCGGGTTGAGCAATGTTTTTCGTGATTAGTCTCACACCTCTCACGATAATTATGGATGTTATATCTGGTAATATTTTGCTTAGCTCCTGGTTTGGGGTTAGATCTGTACAGCCGGGTATGGTTGTTCAGGATGGTTGGGCCTGTGCAGCATGGGTGTGTTGTTCAGTGTTGATTAAAATTTCTGATTAATTACTCCACTGTTTTACTTATCTTAAATGTTTTGCTAAATACTGCTTTTGCAAATGAGCCTATATTATGCCATCCTTTGGTATCCTTGTGCACTTGCATATTTGCTGTGTGGCTTGTTGAGTATGTCATATGCTCACCTTGCAATAATCAATCAACCTCAGTTGAAGAAAAAGGATCCAGAAGGAGAAGACGTTTGGCTTATACCCCAGTTGAGCTGCCTGTGGGAGTGGAGCTGGAGCTTCGCTAGATTTTATTTTCCGCTGCAGTTTTCTTCATGGTGAGGACTAAGTGCCTCTTAAGTAAGTATTTATCGTTTTAGTTAATTTGATGAATCTGTATATTAAATTGTCAGTTTGTGTACCTCGGCTGATTCCTGGACGAGGATTTTATGCACAAATAAGTTCGGAAATTACTAGTGAATTTCCGGGTTTGACAGGGGGCCTGACAAGCCCTGGCAGCATTTGAGCCGGGACTAAAGATAGTTGGTGTTACCAACCGGGACTAAAAATCAAATATGCCCGTTACCCTTTTTAACCGGGACTAAAGATCATCTTTAGTCCCTTTTTGTTGTAACCGGGACTATTGTGGAAATAGCCCGACCGACGAAAGATGGTTTCTCCACCGGTATATATCGGAATCCATGTATGTGGTGATGCGCACGGGTGGAATAGCGAATTGTGTATGGTGTCTACTTTTACTAGTTTAATTATCGACACCTTTTGATCTGCTAACCTTATCCAGGTAAGTGTTTTGATCTCTACATGGGATGTTCCCTTATTATATTTGTCTAAAAATCATTTAAATAGTTATATAAAACTTTTGACAACACATTTATACAACATATATATATATATATATATATATATATATATATATATATATATATATATTCATTACACAAAATTTAGGTCTAAAATCAACCGACACGTTGAGATAAAAAGACAAATTTTGGTGTAAATAGTGCTTGTATTATTTATATTAGAGTTGTCTTCTTTTAATTCTCAATGATTTTTTGTGGAGTGCTAAATATCACTATACTTACATTGCTAGTTTTCTTAAGAAACGTTTTCAATTAATAACTACTTGCATTGAATGAAAGAAAAAGGTATATAAGAGGATGTCTCATCGATGAATTAGAATACATTCGCCCTCATCCGAAAGAAAGATCATTTTCTAGGTAGCAGAAAATTAAAAGATCTGTATATACAATAATTGTGTGTATACGCATAGTGCACGAGAAAGAAGCTAAGTTACGTAGTAAGAAGGCTAACTGGTCAAATGTACGTGTAGAGCAGTGCATGAGAAAGAATTTCCGTAGAATTTGTGTGGCCTAACAGATTGACCTGACTGCGACACCATTATGCATATCGGATATATATGAGATGATCTGGCTAGACAATCTCAATTGAGATTTGTTCCGGTGAAAAAAAATATATCTCGAAATATCGGTACCTCACGATGGTACCAAATTATTTTCGGATCTAACAATGTCCGTCCCATCCAGCCAGATCTAATAATTAGAAATAATTTGGTATCATGAGATATCGGTACAAACCTCGAGATAGTTTTTGTTTGACCGAAACAAATCTTATCTCATGTATATCTTTCATGCGTTTTATTCCATTATCTAAAAAAATATCTTTCATGCGTGTGGAAGTCAAGTTTAGTTCCATCTCGGTCCATAGACGATATCTTATAATCTATCTTTGCTTAACGTGCTAGACACGGCCGGCCACAAGCTAAGCTTACTGGCCGTCTTAGTTATATCATGTTTATTCGGAGACGACTCCCGGTCGATCGAGCGCCCGATCAGGAGGGGGTAAAATCAGGCGCGACGTCAGCGCTCGATTCATGTGCAAAACTACTTTAAACTGATTTTTCTCTTAAATTACTTATACAAATCATGATCCGATTGCACCATTAAATTCATTGTAATTAAATCTTCAAAACAAGACCATACATGGATATATTCCGATGAAAAAAAATTTAGCTTATTATATAATTATTTTTAAATGTTGCACGATGTTCCACCAGGTATATCGAAATTGTTTCACTAAGGTGGTGTTTGGTTGGAGGGACTAAAGTGGGGCTAAACTTTAGTCCCTCTCACAGAAACATAAGTCCCTACCATAGGGACTTGTACTTTTGTGAGAGGGACTAAATTTAGTCTCTAATTCCCAAACACCCCCTAAGTAGATTGAAAATGTTTCACTCATTTAAATCGGGTGTTGTTTCACTTATATAAAAACAATGTTTCAGCAAATAGCGAAAGAATGTTTCAGTTCACTGCAACATTAGATCTATACATAGTGAAACATTGTGTGTACACTAGGTGAAACATTTTTCGGTGGATCAAAAAATAAACCAAATTCCCTTAATAAGGGGTTTCCAAAATATGTGGGTTTTTTGTTGCAATGGAATGTTTCGTTCACTGTAACATTAGATCTATACATAGTGAAACATTGTGAGTACACTAGGTGAAATATTTTTGGTGGAACAAAAAATAAACCAAATTTCCTTAATAGAGAGTTTTCAAAATATGTGGGTTTTTTTTGTTGCAAAAGAGTATTTTAATTCACTGCAACATTATATCTATAAATAGTAAAACATTGTAAGTATACTAGGTGAAACATCTTTTATGAAAAAAAGGAGAGAGAGAAGTAGGTGGGCCCAACAGTACGCACGTGGAGGGAGGGGCATGTAGGGGAGCTAGCGCCCGATCCGCCTCCCCCCGCGCCGGGCGACCAAGGTAAAGTACTTTTGCGTTTATTCGTACGTGTAACATGAATATGCCTACTGACCATCAGCTATTATATGTTTGTTAAGACGGTCAGCAAGCTTATAATTACCTATAATTATACATTAAAATACGGTTGTACTCCTTCAGCTACTATAGGTAATTACGTAGTACTCCTTTCGTATTCTAATATATAACGCCGTTGATTTTTATCAACGTTTGCCCATACGAATTATAGGTAATTAAGACCCACACACTATTATGTCCACCATATAGGCTTCTCTTTGGAAGAGTACACTGCAGGCCATAAAAATAAATTTTTAATTTTTACATTTTTATTAAAATATTTTAAAATTATATATTTTATTTCGAAAATTTATAAACCTAGACGCCTCACGCGTGCTCACTACGCGTTCTAGGAGTACGTTTTTTAAAAATCAACAAACATTAGGGGACCTAAATATTTCAATAAAAAAAAAGTAAAAATAAAAAACACCCGCAGGAGCAGCATCGATGCCGGTGCGGCAAGAGTTGCAGTCGTCGCCGCAATTGTATGGATGGTGAACGCGTAGGTTGTGGGAAGATTAATGGCCGAGCTAGCTTGTCCCGCGGGTATAATCATTGAGGCTCACTCAGCTTGCTACATTAGCTAAAGTCATGCATAATACTGTTTAGGATCTCGGATGATTCGGTTATATAAATTGAAAAACCCGTTATATCTGATATTTTAGTTCAAGGAAGAATTTGAGACTTGGTCTCCTCTCCCCTACTACACTAGACTCAAGGAAGAATAACGAAAGGAGATTCCAGCGAGGAATACGGAGCCGCATGAGACGAGAGTCTCTCAAATTAAGGAACCTAAAGTTAACTTATTACTACCATCAACAGTTTGGGTTTCGCTGCAGCAGATATACATGCCGGCCCATAAGGCTAAGTAATTCGGATAGTATTTGGGCTGTTTTCGCAGGCAGATCAAATTGTCCCCAACTTCGTCTCTTCTCGTTCAAGTTCGCTGTGCCTGATTAAGCAAACAATTGAGCACTAATGGCAGACACACTCGAAATTCATTTTTCTTTTCTAAAAATGACAACGTTTTAGAGACCTTTAATTCTTCTTGGCCTAGCAATTAAAAGATGCAGAAATTATGTTAATAGTCAGCCATATTTCAAGGCCCACCCATGCATGGATCATATAGTAATTAAGCTAAAGGGGTACGTATAGCACATACTACAAATTAGAAGATGCACACAAAATTATGTATACATGTTCGAGTACAGATATATATCCATGGACGATTATTATCTTATTATTTCCACGTAACAAGTATATATTACACATGCATGCATACGTCACGGACATATATATCAATATCTATAGCAGCCAGCTAATGCGTGCACGCATGCTGCAATATTAGCCATAGATCATCCATGACCATGATCAAGTTAATTTAATTAGGTGAGAAGATCTATGGGCAGAAGACGACTTGGTAGTTGCTGTTTCCCCTGCACGCGTGCGTCTTGCTGTTGTCGCTGGGGAACAGGTAAGCGTCGGGGCATCTGCTGTCCCTGCAGGTCAGCCCCACGCCGGAGCTGCAGGAGAAGCTCATGGCGACGTTGTACCCGTCGATCACCGACAGGTCGTAGAAGTCCTGGCTGCCGCCGAGGGTGAACTCCGCCAGCGTCATCGGCGGCCGCCCGGAGAGGCTGCACGACAGCGCGCCGCCGCAGTCGCCGGTGGCGCAGCCGCCCCTGCCGGCGCCGTCGAAGTTGCAGCCTGTCCGGCCCCACACCCTGCCGGAGCTGGTCCCGGCGGGCACGTTGATGGTCCACGTCTGCCCCGGGCTCAGCTGCGTGCCGCCGCCCACCGGCGTCGCCGCCGGCCACACCGTGAACGAGCACCGGTTGGTGATGGTGAAGGTCGCCGCGTTGGCGCCGCCGGCGGCGAGGGTCGCCACCAGGACCACGACGACGAGCACTGCGGGAGAGGCGGCCGGAGCTGACGCCATTGTTGAATATATCGATCTCTCGAAGTCGTAGCTAGCTAGCTTAAACTGCCTCTTAGGATATATCGATCGATGTGTGTGGATTGACTAGGAAGGGGCATGCGTATTTATAGATAAGATGCAAAATGGCACATGCCATGCTGCTGAAAAAGTCTAGATTATTTCTTAATAACTGTTGAGAAATCTAGATGAAGAGAGAATATACTGGAACTTCATACATGAATAGCATTGCAGCAGTAACTAATATTATTTTTACATTTGAAAGAGTTGCTATACGGATTCAGTAAGCTAGATGCACACAACTAAATTGAATAATGTACTATTATTTAGCTCAGCTTCCCCTGAATAATCAGATTGGGTGCATGAAAGACAAATATAACTAAAAATTAATATAAGATATCCTTTATTTCAAGTAAAATCAACATTTGAAAATTTCAACTAGTAATTGAACTAAAAGTACTTTAGTATATTTAGTATATCATGCACATGTGATTATTAGATTTCTATATATTTGAAAGTATTTTTATATGATATTGATTTTATAGTCATTTATAATATATTATAAAACAAATTAATGTTTAAAGTATATGTAAAATAATACTTATCTTATTTTAGGATGAAGGGAATATACTTTATATGCACGAGTGTTTGACCTTGAAAAGTACGTATACACATAATATTGACCAAGTTTCAGAAATATAATGCAAATGTTCTGATGACCAAAAAGATCAGTAGAACAGATTTGACCGAGTTATGTTTTCGTTTGGTGTGCCCAACTACATATATTTTTAATGTGCTGCAGAAATATAATGCAATATAACTAGGAAGGAAGCCCGCGCAGATGCGCGGGCATCTTATTTATTGTTTTATGATTTATGAAATAATGCTAAAAGATGTCATGTCTCATCTTTTTTATGCTGTAAGATAAACTGATTTTAATATACTTAGTAAATGATAAGAATGTCTCCAAGATTAAAAGAAAATCAGTCTGTCCCGATTACTTATAAATTCTCCTATCGTCACCAGAACTTATTATTACTATTTTAAAAGTTGTGTATCTATAAATAGATAAAACTGGATATGTACCAATAAAATAAGCCTAATACATCATTGATACACTAAAATATCTACTTATCTAAGTGTTCATGTTTCACTTATTCCGAATCCATATATAAATATTTTAAAAATACCACTTATACCAATTAATGAAATAACACCGTTAAAGATAAACATGAATGCCCTCTAACGGGTGAAGCCGATCATAGCCACCAAGACTTTTTTTCTCTGTTGAGTTGAAAGATGAGTCCCTCGTCGATTTTAGTCTAATTTACTATCACAACCTCATGGAGAATTGTATTCGTATATTGGGGTCACCTCAACTCAGCCATTTTAGTGGGAGGTATGCTCAAAGGAGAGTGTTGTAGCATTTGCATTTTTGGCAGTTAAGTTTGATACCCTACTATACTTATGACATTGTAGCAAACTCTATTGTTAATGCTTGATACCCTTTAGAAAAGGACACATAAAGTGAAGGTGATCAAAATAATAGTTGTTTTTAAGCTTTGAATAGATGTGTGGCACACGATAGACACAATTTTATGGTGTTAATCATCACTAAAATTTTCATAGTATACATAGAGTACTCTATTTTGAAAAAAAAATGATGAGGTTCATTATTCGATGCTACTATACTAAAAAAAGGTATACCACCACAACAATCTCTATATCACCATATTATTGGTTATATTGATAAATATCTATAGTTTAGCACCTGATTTATTTTCAATAACTATTAAGAATGTATTTATTTTTTCAAAATTCTTTACAATAACTAATAATTTGTGGGAGTATACTTATAGTCACGTGGTGGGGGTGTTTGACATACATACATCAATTATACCTAACATGTTGAAATTCCTTGGAAATATATCATGTGTAGTTCACTGCGCATGACACTTGATTGTTCATTTGTTGTTAAAACTATTTGGTAAAGGAAAAAACATACATATATGACTGATTTATGATGGATGAAGGGGTTATATTATAGCAAAGATCATTGGTAGGAAATATTTTTATTTTTATCACATCTATGTATCGTATGTTGATCATCACTTAAATACCAATCAAGCGGTTCTAAAAAATTGAAAATAAAATTTTTGATAAATTAATCCAAAAATTAAAATTAAATCGGATTTACTTAAAAAAATAGACTAAATTGTTTTTTTTATCATTTTTTACATTTGTAGATTTAAATTGGTGTTGTATATTTATCAAGTGATATTAGAAATCCTAAAATATAATGTGAAACTATTTAAAAATTACCACAACATTAATAATTATATGTTGGTCCCATGTGTCATGATGTATTTAGGACCATAATATACCTTTTATAAGACATAAATATTTCATTTAATTAAAGCATGAAACTAATCACAAATTGAATATAAATATAAATTAAAAAGATGAATGTTTAAAGACATTGATTTGATATTTATATTATAGATCTAGTTCTATTTGCTTATATTTGTGAAGTAATATATTTTATTTTATATTATAGAAACATCTGTTTTAAAAACCGTTGATACTTTTCCCATTGGTACTACGTACGTTTTTTTTTGCCTTTATCTTTTTTATCCCAAGTACGTGCGTATATTTTTCTTAGTAAGCTCTAACTTTTTTTTGAATCATACTTACACTACTTATCTTTTTTGCAACAGTTAAGTATGTACATGTAGATTTGATCTAATGTCCTAAGATAACAGGCCTACCAATTTAAATAAAAATTAATGATGAGATTAGACAAAGTCACATGGTGGCCTACAAGAGTTGGTAGAAATGGCACATAAGATATAATATGACATAGTAGTAAAAATATAGCTAATATAGCTCTGGAATTGGTGATTTAATTAAAAAAATCTGCAGCTGCTAAAGTGTATGCGTAGATCGTATATAAAAATAATTGTTTATTTACAACACCAGATCACTTCTATTGTAAATTCCTAGCGTTTGCGCATTCACACTCAGATTACTCTCTATGAAAAACTGTGATAATAAATTATGATGTACATGTATCATGTAATTTGGAAAAAAGAAAAAAAAAGGAGAATTAGGATCTGGATGGCATCTATCGAGCTCGCCGAGGCAGATCAGTCTCCATGAAAATGATAACAAATGCACATGTATTGTGTAATTAGAAAAAAAGAAGAGAGGGAGAATCCAGAGTTGGATGGCATCGAGCTAACAGAAGCATAAGTACGTACGTATGTACTTGTGGGTTCGGAGAGAAAGGGTGAGAAGAGATTTAGTTTTGATCTAACGGTTAATATTATTGGGTCCACCATTTTAAATGAAAACTTACGGTCAGATATTTTTCTTTTTCTCAGAATTTTATTTAAATTATTAGAGGGCCATGTGGCGACTTAGGAGCGATGTGGCGACTTAGGAGCGTTTATAGGAGTCTCACGTGGTGGCTTGAGAGCGTTTGTGGAAGTTTAATGGACTTTTAGTATATAACAATAATAGAATAGAATAGATAGATAGATGAGAGAACAATTAGACAGAAATTTATTACAGCTAGTTGTTTTAGTGAAAATTTGGTTTTTATCTAATTTATTAGAACGTCACGTGGCGTTATAGGAACATTTATATATGCGTCGCATGGTATTTAGTGATGTTTATAGGAAATTTGATGTACTTTTTACTGTATAATAGATATATAATAGATAGATTGGATGTCGTGGATATAATTTAGTGACACCTGTTTGTAGAATTATTTAAAGTAAAATAATATATGCTGTTAACTTTTTTATAGTTAAAAAGTATTTCCTTGTTATATTTGGTTGCCATATAAAGCATATGGCGCATAGAATAGCATAGATCTTAAATTACTTATTTAGTTAAAAATAAAATAACAATAAAAAATAAGATATGTGGCTTAAATTGGAGATTAGGAAAGGAAAAAAGAGATGAGGGGAGAAGGAGTTACGTACGTGATGAGGGGAGAAGTAGTTACGTACGTACGTAGCAACAGGAGGGGAGATCGGTATATGTGGAGAGGGGAATTTTGTTTTTTTATTAGATCTAATTGCTGATAATATTGGACCCACCAATTTAAAGTAAAATCAACGATTAGATTTTGTAGTGCCACTTGGCGGTTTAGGAGCGATTGTAGGAGCGACACATGGCGGCTTAGAAGCGTTTGTAGGAAGTTTTATGGACTTTTAGTATATAATAATAGATAGATGTTGAAATCAAACTTTTATAACTTTGACTATCGATAACTTTAAAAATATTTAGTTTGACAACACATATAAATTTATCTTACCAAGTATTATAATAAAAGTAAAAATATATTTATTTATTATATATATTAAAATAAATAAATATAGTCAAAAATATAATTTAGAGTAAAAAAACATTAAGAATTATAGACCCGTCGGGAGTATGCATATTTCTATGACGAACAAAATAGTCTTTAATTTCGACCTGTCCGCGTCTATCGATCTTAATTTTGAAGTCTTGTGCCATAAGTTGCCGCAGGATGTGATCGGTCGGTCGTCGGAGGAGGAACTTGAGATCAATTGATCTAGAATTCTAGCTACACTTTTCTAATGGAAAGAATAAAATGGTCCATATATATGTGCTACAGATCGATATCCAGTTCGATCCCACACTGTGTCGTCGTGTAACACAAATTGATTTCTTGTTCCTTTGATCCATGGCCGCCCCAGTTCGTTCATGTTAGTGATTAATTACTACTCCCTCTGTCCCACAAAAAATCAATCTAAAATTAGATGGGATGTTTTCTAGTACAACGAATCTGGACAGGAGCATGTCCAGATTTGTTGGACTAGGAAATGTCGCATCCAATATTAAATTGGTTTTTTATGGGACGGAGGGAGTATATGCCTGCACATGTCACTTCGAAGGGTTGAAAACCTTTTAATTATCCTCCGCACTTAAAATAGAGCATGATTAATTAAATATTATTGTAAAACTTGAAACTAAATTAATATAATTTTTTTAAAGTAATTTTTCTATGGAGTTTAAAAGACATATACAATATTTAGCAGTTTGGAAAACGTATACATATAGAAAACAAAGGAGTGAAAGTTGGAAAAGGAGAGAAAACACACCCTTAAGAATTTAGGATAATGTATCCATCGATCTTAATATATTTCTCCACTGACACACGTAAGTTTAAATTCAAGCCAAGTTGAAAAATATATTAACAAACCTTTATTTCTACTTGTACATGTCAAACTAAATTTAATTTTATATGTTCTCTGGAGTGATATATCACACGTTAATGTATGTATTTAAAAGAAATCTCACAAATATTTAAATAGCACACATAAAATGAGAAGACGTCCCTCTTGGGGTAGAATGACTTTTGTCCTGGGCATACTATTCTTCGCGAGGAGACCTTCTAGCTGGTCATTGTGCACATGCATATCATTGTCATCTGCTGCCTCTCTGTCTTTATTTAATTATTTGTACAAGTAGTAGAGATCTAGACCTTCTAATTAAGCTGGTCATCGTGCATGCATGGGGTCATCTATCTTCTGTCTCTATCTTTAATTGGTTGTAAGTAAGTACTATATTTTTCTTAGATAAAAATGGCTTTACATTATTTCCGGTCTCTATCATGGGCACACACCCGACAGGTCTCAAAAGTAAAAAAAGAAAGAAATTAAAAAACAACGTGATAGGACAAACCCCCAACTTCTGCTGGATCAACTGAAATATTAGCTATCACGTGTCCAATTTTCCCCAAAATATTGCGTTGCAATTTGCTGCAAAATTAAGCTGATCACTGACGATGATTGAAAGATCAGAGATCGCTAACAAATGGAACGATGAAATTGGATGCTTCCTCTATAAGTAGCAATCGAACTTGTGAACCGAGGATAGATCCATGCTAGGAATTGTAATATAAAAAAGACAAGAATTTGTCTTTTTTTTTTCAATCGGTAGGTCAAATTTAAAAGTTGATTTTTGGTGAAGTGCTAGATATCACTTTACTTTACATTGTCAATTATTTTAAAAGTTTTTAATAACTGTTTGCATTTAATTAATGAAAGAGGAAGGTATAAAGGGAATATCCCATCGAGAAATTAGAATTCATTCCCTCCTCATCGGAAAGAAATATTATCTTCTAGGAAGCAGAGAAAATTAGATCTGTATATACAATAAGTCTATAAACCTAGCTAGTGCGCACAAGGAAGAAGTTATATATGTACAAAGTAGAGAAAGCAGTGCATGAGAAAGAATTTCCGTAGAATTAGTGCGCCTGGCCTAACGACTGCGACACCATTATACATATCGTCTAGTACGTCCAATAATATATGTATACTAATATGATACTGATCCATCTGTTTCTAAATATTTTATACCGTTGACTTTTATGAAATATGTAAAACTTTATGTATACATATAAGTATATTTAACAATGAATTAAATGATAGGAAAGAATTAATAATTACTTAATTTTTTTGAATAAGATAAACGGTCAAACATATTTAGGAAAATCAACGGCGTCAAACATTTAAAAAAACGGAGGGAGTATGATCTGGCCGGCTAGACGATCTCATATCTCTATATATGCATGTAGAAGTCAAGTTTAGCTCCATTATTTCTCGGTCCATAAATATCTCATACGGAGTATCTATCTTTTGCTTAACGTGCTAGACACGGCCGGCCACAAACTAATTAACGTGCTTACCGGCCGTCTTAATTATATATCATGTGTAAACATATGACATCCTGTTCGATCGATCTAATTACCTACTATATATTAGGCTGTAATTAATATTAGTCTTAACTTGGGGAAGTTAATTATATTCTCAAGTTAATTAAAACACCTGCATGCATATATAAAGGGCCTACTTCAAATATGAACTAACAAAATTGGAAAATCTCAGGGGTTTTCTCCGATCAATTTGAGAAGCAACTAGTAGTAGCCAGTTGGTGAGAATATAAAAAGAAAACTGAGTTTTGTAGCTTTTGGTTATTTCTTAATAATTTTCTGTATTCTATATATAGCTATATATTCTTAGAATCTAGGTGGGAATCAATCTGGATTGTTCAACGTAATTAGTGATTTTAGAAGAAGTTGCGGCTACTAAAAGTTAACTTCTATAAACATGACCTTAATATACAACTCTATCTATTTAAAAGAATAGCTATTTTTAACTTTGAATATAAACAAGAAATAGCTTTACATTCTTGTACATAGGGAGTACTATACAGCAAAAAGCACCGCTCACAAATAATCTCCTCACTGGTTTGTTCGCCATATAGGCTTCTCTTCAGAAAGCCTATATAACATGATAAAGGCCCATCAATCCGGACAAGGCCCAAGCTAGGGATTTTCATAGGCATTTTCATATGACATCATCAGTTTGCAAAAACGTACTACGTACTACTGAGCGTTTGTATGCGTGTACGTACGTATAATTAAACGCGCGCGACAGCTAGGGACGTGGAAAATCGCTGTGGAAACCTGCTACACACGCAACTCAAGTACTGCATCACTCTCTCTGCTGCTATAAGCTAAGCTAGCTAGTGTCTATCCATTAGTATTGTGGTGTTGCTAAGAATAATCCAACACCTATAAGAGATTGTGTAGTGAAGTAGTACTGTAAGTTAGCTTTGCTAAGCTATCCCAATATATATACTTCCTCCGTTTTAAAATGTATGACACCATTGAATTTCACATAACGTTTGGCGGTGAGCACCATAAAATATTAAACTTCAAGTGATTTATGGGATGGTTTTACAATTTTCCATTTATTAATAGATTACATATGCAATCATGCATATATATAATCAGGGGTTGTCTATATATCTTGTGACAGAAAATCGCACCTCCTATCATTCGAATTTTCGACCATTGGATATACTCTAACATACGTGCAAGCACTTAATCGTACCTCTTCTTCTCCCGTTCCCCTCGCTGCCTCGAGGATTCCGTCCTCGATTCACCGCCGCCACCGCCCCACCGCACTATCGCTCGATCCATCGACGCAACTGTCCCACCGCACTGCTGCCCGCCTCGCCAGCTGGCCAGAAGGAGTCAATGGTGCCTGCGAGCCCCCCCCTCCCCCTCCCCCCTCCCCCCTTCCCCCATCTCTTTCTTCTCAAGACAGTGACGCGAGATGCCCCCTCCCCGCCATCGGATCCTCCACCACCAGCCGCCACCTCCTAATCGCATGCTTGCTTTGTCCCCACCGCCCTCCTCCATCCCCGTGGTTTTGGCGGCGCTGCCACTGCCTTGCCGCCCGCCGAAGTGCATCGCCGACCGCCGGTCCTCCGCCGCCCACGGGCCACAGCCATCTAGCCCTCTAAGCCCCGAGGAAGCCACCTCCCTCCTCCTCTTCCCACTCCCCTAACCCCTTTCCTACCCTGACCCCAACCTCAAACCCTACCAAAGTTGGGGATGTCGCCGGCGCCGACAAGAAGGGGAGCCCGCCGGAGTTGAAGGAGAGAAGCCGATGCATGAATCTTGGCATAGGTCCAATGGTCTAAAAATCTGTAAGATTCCATTCCCAAATTTTATTCGAATGACATATAGCAATTCTGGATCACGTTCGTTTTATTGTATGTTCTTATTATTTTCCCTGATACAGTTTAGTAGAAGTATATATATAGTAGTAGGTTCATATGCATGAAATCATGGGCAGAAGACGACTCGGTAGTTGCTGTTGCCGTTGCAGGAGCGCAGCTTGGAATCGTCGGAGGGGTACTGGTACGCGTCCGGGCAGCTCCTCTCCCTGCACGTCAGCGTCACGCCGGAGCTGCAGGAGAAGCTCATGGCGACGTTGTACCCGTCGATCACCGACAGGTTGTAGAAGTCCCGGTTGCCGCCGGACGTCCCCAGCGTGAACTCCGCCAGCGTCAGCGGCGGCTGCCCGGACAGCCTGCACGACAGCGCGCCGCCGCAGTCGCCGGTGGCGCACCTGCCGCGGCCGGCGCCGTCGAAGCTGCACCCGGTCCGGCCCCACACCCTGCCGGAGCTGGTCCCGGCGGGCACGTTGATGGTCCACGTCTGCCCCGGGTTCAGCTGCGTGCCGCCGCCCACCGGCGTCGCCGCCGGCCACACCGTGAACGAGCAACGGTTGGTGATGGTGAAGGTCGCCGCGTTGGCGCCGCCGGCGGCGAGGCTCGCCACCAGGACCACGACGAGGAGCACTGCGGAAGAGGCGGCCGGAGCTGACGCCATTGTTGCTTGCTTTCTTCTAATCTTTGTGTTAATTTGTATAGCTTGTTAATTAAGAGAGCTAGGAATCGATCATGCGTATTTATAGATGGGCATGGTGTTGAAAAATCTACGATTTTGTCTGAATATTGTACTGTGTTGCAAAATCTAGATGTGGAGAGAAACTTCAAACAAGCACGACTGATCGAGTCGCCGATCGATCTATTTATTTTATTTTTGCACAAGAAAGATGAACTACATCTCCAGCACACGTACTAGCTACCATTATTGCCATAATTAAATCTCATTGGCTGAGATTTTGCCATGCAATATGCTTGGATATCCAATATTGTTGAATCATACAAACACGTACAACTCAAGTCATCAGTTATATGTTTGCTGAATTTTCAGATCGATCGGGTGCTTGAAAGATGAAAGTCAATGCTTATATGCGTGATTCTCGCCGGCAGAACTACTGATGTGAGGGTTAAAAATATTGAATAGCTCTACAAATGCTGTAGAGAAATCAATTTTATCAGGCCTGCAGTTGATTGATGAATAATTCTAAATGCATGCATGTAATATATTTATCATTTATTTGATTTAATTAGCTCCTGCATCTGCTATATATTGGACTCTACAACTTAGTAAAAGTTATGTGGCTTTTTACAAAATCGCATCTAAATTTCATGAGCTTTTTAGAGCAAAATATTTGCTCCGGTTTTACGTATAACCACAAAGGTACGATGAAGACAACAAATTCATGCATACTGCATGCCGTAACCTAGAGTTATGGTTATACAGACTTTCGCTAACTATGAATGAATATTTACAAATATATAGACTTCAATAATTGTTGGGTTTATATCTTGTGTTGGTGGTACTTTAGTCATGCGTGCATCGTTGTTTCTGTTTTGTTCTCTGAGGATAGTTTGTGCCCTTTGTTGAGCGAATTTTTTAAATTAAAAATTGGCTGTAGCTACTTTTTAGCAAAGGCCGGGATTTATTCCATTATTAAAAAAACTTAATTAGTTTTGTTATTTGTCAGTATATATATTGTTGGTCACCACACATATTATTTTTCTTTTTTTAGTCAATAACCTATACGTACCTTGGAACAACTCAAGTAGCACGTACTTCTGCATGCGAAGAGATAGTAGTAAGCTACTAGTACGTACAAGCGTACAACAAAAATATGAGTTAACCTTATTTAATTAGCTTTGACGCTGATTATTATTTTTTCTTTTATATTGTCAGGGACCCAAAAGTTAATTTTTATTTTAAGTTAAATCACTTATTTTTCACATTGATTAAGATCAATTAATAATTAACCATGCATGTATAAGCCGTACATTCTGAGCTAGCAGCTAGTTGTAACTAAAAAAAATATGTACGAGAAAGAATTTATTTTACTGTAGAAATTAGAGAAGGTTGGTCAATAGTGTATATATGGCGGCGTTGTGCATGAGAAAATTTCAATTCTGTAGAATATATTTATGGGCTCGGCCTAACAGCTGGCAGATTATTTTTTTCCAACACGCAAAAGATTTTATGTGTTATATATTAACATCTAGCTGACTGAGAACGGCACCATCTCTAATGCATATCGTCAAGTACAATAATGTGTATGCGATCGATCGATATGATCTCTCATCTTTATGCATACATGTGTTGACGTCAAATATTTTTAGTTCCAGCAATATGATCTGTCCATATTGTATATGGTTTTGTTTGGATGATGTAGGGGATCGGTTGATATGAGAATACAAACAGGTAATAGCTCTATCTCCATTGACCGGAGTCAAGGTAGCCATTATATATCAATATCTAACAAGTACAATAGTGAGGAAAACTTAATCTAGTCTACTAGGCTATCAGTGTTGTTTACACCCAAATTTAACACCTAGGATCGAAATAGGAAAAATTGCCAAAGTTTGAAGTTATGCCGGTTTCCTCCAGAGTGGGCTGGTTAGACCGCCGGTTGAGGGCCGGTCAGACCGGCGGTGTGTGGCCGGTCAGACCGGCAGAGTCTGAGTCCGGGTCTGTTTTTGTTGGACCTCGAGTTTTCTTACTCGGGAAGACATGTTTCGGGTTTCCTTTAGATTCTATCCCGAGTTGGACGTAGAGGAGGGCCTGTAGAGGGCAAGACCAACCCCTATATAAGGGGGTAAGGCCGGCTCATTGTAACAACTAATCTACAATCAATCAATCGAATCGTTATTTTACTTTTGCTTCTAATTCTAGTTTAGTTTATCCATCTTTGTCGATTTGCGCCTTAAATCGTCTGCCGCCGCTACGAGAGTGCGACACCTTTTTGTAGGTTTGTCCTAAAAACCTTCTGTTTTGCCCACGAGACGGGTAGTTATTTAGAATCGGCTCCGCTAGCCGGTTTAGTTACCAAAACCCATCTTGGTTTAGCTTTTGCTAGATTTAGGTGGTTGGCAACTCTAGGATCACTGCAAGGCGTTTAGGTGCTGCGATCATGCTTATCAACTTGTCACAAAAAGTTGCTAACAAGTGTAAAGCTCGAGCATATGGTCGAAGGATAGCTATTGTCTGCTTCCTCGAGAAGTAACTCAGCGAGAATGAAGGTAGCTCTAGGTTCCTTTTGACTTCTAGCGGGCTTGGGTTGTCTTGTCCCCTCTTCTTCTACAAGATCTTGTATGTATACCTCTTTGCCCTTTGTCCAAGTATATATTAACTAGGGATGCGTCGTCGAACTTAGTACAATGTATAAGGTAACCCATATATATTTATAACTCTAACATAGACACACATATATAATTAGTAATATATATTGGTTCCTACAGGTGGGTGGATTGAGGATAAACTATTGGTTCCTACAGGTTTCGCACACACGAAAGGAGCACTTACAATGTTGGGATGGCTAGAACTAGCCATCCAATGGTATTAAGATAGGAGAACCCAAATATTTTTTTTCAACCCTTCATTTAATCTAGGTGAAATATAAGCAGGTTGAGAGGTCGAAACTGGGTCTGCTGGGTGAAAGCAATCAACCCATACCAACCGAGTTAGGCACGGTTCTCAAAGGAGCGCTTACTGTGAGAGAGGTAGGGAAGAAGGACGATTGTGCTTTTAAGTACTAGAGAAATTCCTCCATTCTAAATAGTGTTTAATTACAAATTGTCTGTCATCCCTGTCTGAATTTGGGGAAGCTGGATTCAAATTCATACGTGTGAATATACCTAGGACCTAGTTCAAATTTGAAATAAAACGCTTCACTGATGAGAACATGATTAATTTGCAAGAGGGAAATACAGTACATACGCGTATATGGATCTGCAAAATTAGATAGAAATGAAAAGCCCAGCCCACAAAGGAAGCGAGATCACAATTTCTGGGCCGTCCCAGAAAGGCAAGTGTATCGGCCGATAAACGAGGCCCATCAATCAATCTGACCAATTCAGTCAAGTCCCAATTCCCAAATAAATTTTCATTCGACAGTGTGATACGTATAGGAGTATAGAAGATCGAATACATGACCGTATATATATACTCCTACGTAGGAACCAAGCGTATACGTACATGCATGGCCTTCTTCCAAATGCAGCAACCGTACGTGGAAAATCGTCTAGTCGTGGAAACCATGGCCGTCGATCGTCCCTCCTCCTATAAATACCTTAGCCATGGCGCCACCCATTGCCACATTGCAAGCAGCAGCTAGCTAGCAGAAGAAGCAACCATGGCCAATACTCGCGTCTTCGTCCTCCTCCTCCTCGCCGTCGCCGTCGCCGTCGTCTACAGCGCCGACGCGGCGACCATCACGGTGGTGAACCGCTGCCGCTACACGGTGTGGCCGGGCGCGCTGCCCGGCGGCGGCGTGCGGCTCGACCCAGGCAAGTCGTGGACGCTCAACGTCGCCGCCGGCACCAAGGCCGCCAGGATCTGGCCCCGCACCGGCTGCGACTTCGACGGCGCCGGCCGCGGCCGCTGCCTCACCGGCGACTGCCGCAACGCGCTCTCCTGCGCCGTCTCCGGCGCGCCGCCGACCACGCTGGCCGAGTACACGCTCGGCACCCCGGGCGCCGCCGGCGGCGACGCCACCGACTACTTCGACCTGTCACTGATCGACGGGTTCAACGTGCCGATGAGCTTCCAGCCGACGAGCAACGCGGCGCGGTGCGGCGCCCGGCGGCGCGGGCCGAGCTGCGGCGTGGACATCACGGCGCAGTGCCTCCCCGAGCTGAAGGTGGCCGGAGGCTGCGACAGCGCGTGCGGCAAGTTCGGCGGCGACGCCTACTGCTGCCGGGGGAAGTACGAGCACGAGTGCCCGCCGACGAAATACTCCAAGTTCTTCAAGGACAAGTGCCCCGACGCGTACAGCTACGCCAAGGATGATCGGAGCAGCACTTTCACCTGCCCTGCCGGAACAAATTACCAGATCGTCATGTGCCCTTAATTAATAATTAAGCTAATATAAGATGTGATAATAAGGGGTAGTGATCTTGTGTGTTGATCACTACCATTACCATGCATGCGTGCATGCGTACGTGTTGTTCAATATATAATAAATGAATAAAAACTCTTATCTTCAATTCTGATGAAAAAAAAAAAGTGAGTCGGGTTGCCATTAGAAAACCAGCTCCATGCATGCATGCCTGCGTCGTACTACGTCCATATTTATGTACGACGCCGTTAACTTTTTTGTCTAATATTTGACCATTCGTCTTATTCAAAATATTTATGTAATTATTATTTATTTTATTATCATTTATTTTATTATGACTTGATTCGTCATCAAATGTTCTTTAAGTATGGCATAAATATTTTTATATTTGCACAAAAATTTTGAATAAAACGAATGGTCAAGCGTTGGTCGAAAAGTCAACGGCGTCATACATTAAAATACAAAGAGAGTATTTGTTTTCTGCGAAGAAATCACACCAAAATATGTTTCTATGATTTTCTTGGGTGATGTGGACTTTGAAGCTCCCTTTTCTTGCTTGCAATATATATAGGAGTTGATGATGATATATCATCATATATGGGATTACCTATAGTATACCATTTGATAGAAAATTCCTTCACAATATTTTAATGTAATTATATTGTAATTGAAATATAACTATCATGGTGAAAGGGCCTGACGGAGCTCGTGGCCCCTCACCGGGAGACTGCGCAAGCCCCCCTTTGCCGGTTCGACCAGGGGCTTAGGGTGCAATCCCAAGCTCTCTCTCTCTCCCTCCGTGCCCCCGGCTGGTGGTGTTGGCTGTAGAGCCTTTGTGGCGAGTCTTCGGAATGTCCGTTGGCCCTCGTGGCCCCTCACCGGGAGACTGCGCAAGCCCCCCTTTGCCGGTTCGACCAGGGGCTTAGGGTGCAATCCCAAGCTCTCTCTCTCTCTGTATGTGGAAAGATCACCCGCCCGCAAGACACACGAGACACGGCGATGTATACAGGTTCGGGCCGCTGCGAAGCGTAATACCCTACTCCTGTGTTTTTGTGGATTTGTGTATGGACAAGTTACAAAAGATTAACTTCCTTTCCCCTCCGCCTTCCAAAAGGGCCATATATTTATTCTAAATATTTAGTCTGAGCGCTTATATTATTTACGGATTGCGTCTGCTTAGGTAGGGGGCACAGAAGCCGAGTGCGCCCTCTGGTCATGATACTCCCGGTCCCATATCACCGACAGTAGCCCCCGGCGTTATGCCAGAGCAATTTCCCTTCCCCAGGGAAGCGGTCAGGTGTGACGCCACCTCTAAAGCCTGGTGACAGGTGGGACCGGTTTCCGTAGTTGGGCAAAATACCCAACGGTCTCAAATCACGCACATTGGTAATGGTGACTTTGCTGTCCATAATGGGCGGTCTCTTCAAGACTGCCATATCACTTGAGCGGCGTACGAATCTGGGTGAGCCGATTTGCTTCGCCTGGAGATATGGTGATGGCGCTTTTTTCGGAGCCATCAGAATAGCGTATAGCATCTTCTGGGCCTGAGGGTATCGGGTTTTGGCGTCCCGGAGGGCCTCGCTAACAAAGTAGACGGGCCGCTGCACCTTTCGGCGGGGCCGATCCTCTTCGCTAGAGGCCGCATCTCCAGGGCGCTCTTCATCCGAGAGGCAGCGCGGGGCGCACTCGGCTTCTGTGCCGACGACCTCGGGGTTAGAGGGCGACAGGCGCGGCCTTCCCGCAGTGGCCTCGGGGCCATCCTGGGGGTCGGGGGCGCCTGGCACCGTCGGGCAAGCAAGCGGAGGGCCAGCTCCGGCCGTCGGGGGCCTTGGGCCGCCGTTCGGCTCGGGGGCCTCTCCTCCCTGCTCTCTCTTCGGGCAGAATCCTCGGCTCGCGTTCGCCCTCAACTCCGACGAGGAGGACGATGACGGCGGAGTGGGCGACAGTGGCGACGAGGCCGGCGACCCGGGTGCATCGGAGTGAGCCCCCAGGCCTCCGCCAATCTTAATAGCTTTTCCTTCTTCTTCCGAGGCCTTCGGGCCCCCTTCTTGTTATAGACTGATTTAATCTGCAATCAAATAAAGAGGAAATTTTTGTGTCAATTTCATTTGTTCTGTGTATGAGACGAGGATGTCTGTGCCGCGATCCTTTTGTGTCTTGGCTTGAACAAGGGCTCGTGCCCAGGTCCTAGTCCTCAAATGGCTCGGGTCGGGGCTAGTGCCTGGGGAGATCCACATGTCGAGACTGGCCAGGCCGGGAGCGTGGTGACCGAGGGTTATGGGTGACCCGATTGTGGGTTTTTGCCGATTCCCCCCCGGAGTTCACCACGTCCCGGGGCACGGCTCGGTTCTGGGCCCCTTTTGGCGATTTTAGCCGACCCGAGCCCCCGAGGGTAGGATTGAGCACGAGTGACCTATTTCAAGTCAAGATTCTTCAAAAGGAAACAAAAGCACAGACACAGCCTTTAGGAAATCGAAAAATGCTTTTATTGAAATACGGAAGAGAAAAAAGATAAGCCCCCGGCCAACCCTGCACGCCCGGGGGGGGTGCGGAGTTGGCCCGAGCCCAAGACCTGACACCCGACCCCCACTAGGGGTAGAAGCGACGAAGGTGTTCGATGTTCCACGGGTTAGGCAGCTCTGTGCCGTCGCCCGTGGCCAGCCGTATGGAGCCCGGCCGGGGGACGCCGATCACTCGATACGGACCCTCCCACATTGGTGAGAGCTTGCTCAATCCAGCACGCGTTTGGACGCGGCGTAGGACGAGGTCGTCGACGCAGAGTGATCGGGCCCGGACGTGGCGCTGATGGTAGCGCCGCAGGCTCTGCTGGTAGCGCGCAGCTCGGAGGGCCGCGCGCCGCCTTCGCTCTTCCAAGTAGTCGAGGTCAGGGAGCGCCGGCCTCCTTCTTTTTGTCGCTCGCAGGCCTCCCCTTTCGGGTGGCCAGCGAAGCGCCTTCGACAGCGAGGACATGACCCTCGTCGTCGGAATGGGCTGACCTCTTCTTCCTCCTCCTGTCACGCCGCCCTGTCTGAGCGGCGGATCCGGGGGCGGCCGAAGCTGCCACTCCGGAACCGGAGGGGTTCCAGGTCCAGGCCTCCTCCTTGCGAGCCACTCGGTCCGCGAGCTGAAAAAGCTCTGCGGTAGTCTGGGGCTCTTTGGAGGCGATCTTTTCGAGCATGCGGTTGTGCCGCACACCCCCCCTGAACGCGTAGATCACCGCGTGTGCAGGGATGCAAGGTATAGTATTGCGGACTTGGCAGAAACGCTGAATGTACGAGCGAAGGGATTCATCATCCCCTCGCTGTACTGCGTGCAAGTCCGCTTCTTCACCTGGGCGTGGATAGGTGCCTTGAAAGTTCATGGTGAACTGCTGGCACAGATCCTCCCAGGAGTGGACCGACGCGGGTGGCAGGTTCATTAGCCAACCCCGCGCCTGTCCCTTCAGGGCCATGGGAAAGAAATTCGCCATGACCCTGTCGTCTCCCCCAGCGGCCTCGATCCCGGTCGTATAGACCTGGAGAAACTCGGTGGGGTTGACGCTCCCATCATACTTCTCGGTGATGGTGGGCCGGAACCTTGGGGGCCAACGGACATTCCGAAGACTCGCCACAAAGGCTCTACAGCCAACACCACCAACCGGGGGCACGGAGGGCTGGTCCTCACGTCCATGTCGAGGTGACACCCTGGACGAAGAGGCACCCTCCGTTGCGCGGGGAGCACGCCGATCACTACGTCGGCGCTCGATGTCGAGGCGGGCATCCGGCTCTTCATGCTGATCCTCCCGAGTCGGAGGCGCCGACGAAGGAGTGGTAGCCGAATGGCGTGCAGCAGCCGCCGCTCGCCGCGCCCTCCGCCTTGATGACACAGAGCCGGAGGTGGCGGCGCCGAAGGTCTTGGTGGTGGCGGACCGTCCACCAGCACCCAGGCGCTGCTGTGCCGTCATGACCAAGTTGGCCACGTCGTCCAGCCATCGCTGGGCTGGAGACTCCGGGTCAGGGACGACAGGCGGGTGACGTAGGAGCGCGCCAACAGCCTGAAGCGCGCCTTGAGGCGTGCTGCCGTCGCCGTAGACGAGGAGGCGACGCTCCCCATCTCGCCGTTCTCCTGCACCACCCGCGACTGGCGATGCTGCGGATTTTTCGACTCTCTCGAGCGCCTCCCCCCGCTTGGGACTTTGGCGTGGAGGAGGTGGGGGAGTACGAGCTCGACGGCGCGGGTTTGGCTCCCCGTCGTCGCCACTCACACTCGGAGAGAGGTCGTGCGCCTTTGCTTGCTCGGCCATTAGGCTGAACAAGGGAATCTTGGCGCACACGGAAGAGTATGAGAGCTCAGAAAACACACGCTGAGCCCCCTACCTGGCGCGCCAGATGACGGAGCTCGTGGCCCCTCACCGGGAGACTGCGCAAGCCCCCCTTTGCCGGTTCGACCAGGGGCTTAGGGTGCAATCCCAAGCTCTCTCTCTCTCTCTGTATGTGGAAAGATCACCCGCCCGCAAGACACACGAGACACGGCGATGTATACAGGTTCGGGCCGCTGCGAAGCGTAATACCCTACTCCTGTGTTTTTGTGGATTTGTGTATGGACAAGTTACAAAAGATTAACTTCCTTTCCCCTCAGCCTTCCAAAAGGGAAAAGTCCCCTCTCTAAATGGGCAAGGTCCTCCTTTTATATCTCAAGGGGATACCACATGCACCTTTCTCTTTCCAAACTGGACTGTTCTTTTTCTCTTTAATGGGCGGAGATCGGTACGGTTTCCATCCGGGAGCCCTTCTGATGGGACAGCCCACACCTACCCCCACCTCCCCCGAAGACAGAGATGACGCGGGACCGTGGCTGTCTGTCGATGTCGCGACCAGTGCCAGACCGGTCATTCTTGTCCACCACGCGTCAGCTTAACAACGTGCATGTTTGCCCTTCTTCGTGTAACACCTTGCCTGTAATGGTTAGGATGAAGCCTGGTATAAATCTGACCAGGGCTAACGTGCCATCTCTAAGAGATAACACGCTAGCTCCGGCTTGAGACGAGTGCCTAGAGGCTTTCGTCTTGACGGGATGGGGCAAGGCGTGCGTCAGACCGCCAGTCGCCACCTAACCCGTGATCTGACCGGTCTGTGACTGGTCACAGACCGGATAAAGGAACGCGCTGTACTG